ACCCAAAGGCTCCAGCTGCACGGTTGCAATCTTAACATACAGTTTATTTGTAAGTTTCCCTGAAATGAGTTGCCAACCATGAACGGGACAATCTGCAGGTGTCCAACCCTCGCCTTCCCCCCACTCCACGGCCATTCGCAGCTCCCAGAGGAAGGCACCTGCTAGACACGCGAGTGTGACCCGCCCTAGGCAACGTGTGAAGCGGCCCTCAAGCGGGAGAACCCGGGCAAGAAGAGAAACTCTTACCTTCTCCTTGCCCCCACAGTGGCAGCAGACGGTGCCCAGGTACTTGAGGGTCCTCCAGAGCAGGAGAGGAAAAAGGGGACCATGGACGAGGCCAGGAAGGCCCGCCACATGCGCTGCCCGCGGGCGCAGGGGACCTCCATGGGCCTGGGGATGATGGCCGAGGAGGAGTCCGAGGAGTATCTCCTGGAGCCGCCTCCGCCACTGGCCAGGGCTAAGAGCTCCCGCTGCTGCTCCTGCCAGCGCCCTCGGCCAAGCCCAGCCATAGCGCTGCTCTTGGGCGGGGAGGCGCGCAAGCCGAGCCTCAGCGCACGTCCAGGCAGGCGGCCGCCGCTCCAGTCAGAGGCTGCCCCTTCCCCCTCACGACGCCCGCCACCAAGGGGAGAAGGCGGGCGGGATTCCTCCCTTGGTCGCCTCACGATTTGCGCGCCAAGGCGGAGAGCGGCCCCTCGTCAGTCTCTCCGGCAAGTCCAGCCCTTCCTCTCTCCTCGGCTTCGGCTCCCCTCCCGGCTGGCTCCTGCCTGGTCTCGGGGCTCTCCAGGCTCCCCCTCGCCTCCTCCCAAACGGCCCTGCGCGCTTCTCCGAGGCTGCCTCGAGCAGATGGAGGCGAGCGAGCGAGAGCCACGCGCTTGACAGGGAGCGGCGGGAGGAGCCGAAGGCGGGCAGGCGGCCCACGTGACCTGCCGCCTCAACAAGTCCTTCTGGCGTCAGAGAGAGAGCAGCGCCTTAGGCTTGGAGGCGGCGGCGGCGGCGGCGGCGGCGCGATCCTGGCACTTGCTGAATGGCGTGACGCGCTGGTTGTCCCTCTTCTCTCGCTCGCCTTTACTCCTCGCTTAGACTTGCACGCCTAATGGTCGGGCCGGGGAGGAAGGACCCCAAATGGCAAGAAGGAAAGGCGGCAGAGCAGAGATCGGCCTCCCTTCACCCCCGCCCGGCTCGCCTCTTTTGCATGCCATTCTCCCTCTCTCTCTGTTTTCCTTCGTTCTCCGTCGGAGGAGCAACGAGGCATAGGGAGCAGCCCGAGAGGGACACGATCCCCGCCGATCAAAGTCTGCTCTTGAAAGCCAGCGTTCGGCCGGGATGGTTAGGCAGCATTGTTGTTGTTCTTAATCGCGGCCCAGATCTGAAAGCAGTCTTTGGCTGAGGGCAGGGAAGGAGGCCGTGGGGTCTGGGGAAATGAACGAGAGCAGCGAGCCGGATCTTGGGCCAGAGTGGAGTTGCACAAACAGGTGCTTGGCGATGCCAGAAGGGAGGCGTGTTTTGTTTTGTGCGGGCTTTTGCAGAATGGTGGCTTTATGCAGGCGCTATCAACATAGGACGAAGAGGAGGGCATGTCTGTCAGTGCACAGCCGGACTCGGAGGGGTTTATCGCTGGAGAGGGTAACAGTAACCTGAATAGACGCTTGCCCAGCGATGAATAGACGCGATGTCCCCGCAAGTGGGTTTTGGTGGTCCTGGCCAGGAAGTAAGAATGGAAGGCTCACAGTGTAAGGCAGGGCTCTTTGTACCTTCGCAGGCAGCACCTTCTAGGAAGCGATGAAGACTAGCAGTGCCAATTCCTTTGGTCTTGTAGATGTGCAATAGCCTTTCTTGCATTGAATGGAGGGGTGGAGCTAACCCCTTTCCCTCCCAGTTCCATCATGCACTAGCAGAATAGTGCACTAGCTAGGAACGCCTGTGCCAGGATAAGTAATGGCATAAATCACCCACCTGAATAGCAAAAGTTACAGATAATCATCCATTTTCATCTTTATGTACCCCAAACTGTGGAGAAATGAATTAATCCATCTAATCTATCAGAGAGCCTCCAGCTACATCAGTTTTAGCTAAACAATTATGCAACTCACTGCAGTGTCCACCATGGTTCTGTCATTTTGTCAAGTCAAAGTGCATTCCTTTTAGAATTACAAAAACCACCTCATTCCTTGAGGTAACCACATGCCCCAGATAATAGCAGAAAATATTTCACTTAGCCGTTATGTAGAATCCATCTTTCAGTGTGATCACCAAACCAAAATCATGCGGATTATTAACCAGGGAGGATGGAGACAGCTTTTCAAATATTTCAGTAGCTGAAGGAATGCTAGCTTGCTTCATGGTGTGCATTCATTTGAATTAATAAAATGTTATTTCTCTCCCAAGACATCGGAAATCAGGTTCAATGAAGCTGTTGCATGGTCCAAAAGTTGTATCCCCGACCCCTCCATTTGTCATTTTAAGCCTTCTCTTAACTTTAGATTTTATTCCTTAATTTTTCCCAATCAGCAATCTGAAAGACCAAAATCTTTTGACCATTTAATCATCACTTCCTTAACTTCTTCCTCTTTTACTTCCCAACCTAGCAGGAGTCTATACATTTTAGATAATAATTTCTTTTTATTTTGTATTAAATCTTTTTCCAGCCTCAGTACTTCTGTTGCACACCTCTTTCTTCGATCTAGTTTAAGAATATCATTTAGTTGACGGTACTGCAACCAATCTGTAAGATGGTGTCTAATTTCTTCAAACTTTCTCAATTTTACTTGGTTTTCTTCCTCTTCTAGTATTTCTTTATAGGTTGCCCTGTTTCCCCCATTTCTCCTCTTCCCTGAGATAGCCTCTAGGGGAGATAACCACCAGGGTGTTTTTGTTCTAAGAGGTTTGTAAACCTATCCCACACCATGTATAATGATTTCCTTATTATGTGATTCGAAAACCCCGTGTACTTTGACTTTTTCATGGCCTAAATAGGCGTGCCACCCAAATCTGTTGCCCCATCCCTCCAAATCTGTATTCTAATACATCTGTATTCTGCAAAATTATCCACTCTTTCATCCAACATAGGCTTTAAAAAATATTCTTTAATTTAAAATATTAATTAGCACAAGTATTCTACAAATGTTGCTACTGTTTAAAACATCAAGTACATCTCTTAATCAAAATAGGAAACAGCCCTGCTGTGAAAATGTTACTTCTATATTTAATATCCTTTCAAAATATACACATTAACAGGAGGCAGCAGAGCATTTTCTTTTTCTTTTAAAAATATACATAACATCACTGCAAGTAGTAATTAAAACAACAAAAACTTTAAAAGAGTTTTCCCATTTGTTCCCAACTAGGCTGTACATTCTACATTATCAAAGAAGTTAGTTTGCTTTCTATGAAGCTGTCAAATGAATTGTTTCCTATTAGGAGGTCCATTGTCACTGCTGAGCTGCCCACTGTGGGCAGCAGGAAGAAACCTCTGTATTGGAGATACAGTATCCACAAGATAAGAATGTTTGATACGTAGTTAGTAAGCTTTTATGAAAGAGCTGTATTTTGTAGGATAAGAAAAAAATATATTCACACGTTCAGTTCCACACTTACAGCTCTTGTATATCTTGTATTGTATTGGTTCAAATTTTGAACCAATGCAGAGGTAACAGTAGTCATTTGTCACACTCTAGATGCTGCTCCTGCTCCACCTCCTCCATCTTCATCCTCTTCCTCTTCCCCCTCCTCCTCCTCCTCTTTTTCTGTCTGAAGCATTTTTAGATACTTTTAGATAGTTCTCTGCTGTATGGGACAAGTCACTGAAAGTTAATGATGTTTTGTTCTTTCCCTGGTCGTGACTGTAGGAACACACAGCTAAATACTGGACAAACGGCTCCATGGTCTTCACCGTGAGGAAAATGGTGTCCGGGTTGATGTTGGAGACCTCAGGCAAGCTCTTCATGATCACCCGGATGCGAGACAACAGCAGCGACACCAGCTGGTTTTCTTTGCCGCCGCCGATTCCATTCACCATCTTCCCGGACCATCTCCCTCCCACAACCGCGTGGCTGTTCTGTAGCATTCTGCAGATTTGTTCCATTAAACTGTGGGAGGAGGAGGAGGAAGACACATGCATTCAGCAGCACATTCTGGCTGAGGAAATAAGTATAGATTTCCCCATTTAACTTCATATTGCTTTTTGAAATTTGAACACGCCCCCCCCCCCCCCAGATTTATTGGATCTGTAGCGCAAGATATTTGTCGAGTTCAAGTCAGGGTGGATAGGAATACCATTACTGATTCTATATTATTTAATTACCACTTTGAAGAAAAAATCAATGCCATCATAAAATCTCGACAATTTGATCTGACTGCTCTGTAAGTGGAAAACTTACTGACCTACTTAAGTACGGAAAGGTTTTCCTAAATAGTATTCTTAGATTTCCAAATGTGTCCCCCCCCCCACCAAAAGGAGGGAGGGTACCCTGCCCTAAACATGGACAAAAATCTACTAGCTAGAACACAAAACTCTCCATTCATGCAGTAATTCCCAAAAAAGAAATAATATAAATATATATATTACCCCTATTGGAGCCAGTCTTGGGGTATTTGGGTGTCCAGGGTATTTTCACACCTTCTTTTTTATATTTTATGGTTATGGATGAACCTGCTTTAAAATACAAAAGGAAAAAGTCAGGCTTAATAAGAAAGAGGGGGGAAAGTCCTTTAGGCCCTGAATTTCAAGTTATCTGCAAGATTTCTACTGTAAGTAATATAAAGTGATCCTCTGGAACAAGCTTTATTATTTCAGAGACAAATCTAACTGCATCCTCTGGTAGTTAAATGGAGATATATCAATCTCACGGGGGACATCTTTTTTTAAAGAATAAAAAACCAAAAGGAATGCATGGGTAAGGAGTGGGGCACCATTGTCCCCTCCCTGCTATCCTTCTCCCAAATGCTTTCCTCCTCTGCTGAGCTCAGATAGTGGAACCGTGCGCAACTGGGTGGGAGAAAAGCATTGGAAGAAAGGGTTCTACACTCCTTACTCCAGCCTTTTTGTTCTTAAAAACGGGACCCTTCCCATCCCATCCAATCCAAAATGCCACTTACCAAGTCTTATCATATACGGCCGTGAACCACTTCCTGGTGTGCATTTTTGTACCTGTGGGGAAAGTTCAGAATCACACACTCTTTCAACCCAAAGTCATTATTCTGGTATCAGGTATGGCAGGGATGACCGACATCTAGATTCACAGAGGGGTTCCAGATGTTGATTGGCCTAGACATTGAGTTTTCTTTCAACACTGGTGATGGGACAGTGTCTTCCACCACACCTGAGGTCAGCCACCAAATTAAAGAGGCACACGGCAGGTTTCATGGCACGCACAGCAACAAGGGCTTTCCAGTTATTCAGCGCATGTGCTCAGGCTTGCCAATGCATCCCAACGTATACAAATTCCTATTTACAGGCAAACCAGTAAGACGTAATATCAAAATGGAGGATAGCTTCTGCTTACAGTTTGATGCATCCCACCCTACAAGTGGAACTGTGAGTTAATCTATCATAATTAGATTAGAAATTGGAAGTTCAGCCAAGGGCTCAAATATAAAGTGCCTTGGATCTTGACTACAGGTTGTTGATGGGCCACTCCTGCATTATGGGGTTCTGCTTCCTCGTAACGGCAACTACCACATGTGGAACTGCCCCACAAACGTTCCACTTCATTTCAACTTCCAATTCCCGGGATCTTAAGCATAGACCTGGGAAAACCAGTTCACCTTTTTCTTTTGCTCTTTGCCTTGATGCAGAAAAGGTACGCCACACAAATAAATCTCTTTGGAAAGTATGTGCCAGGACCCACTCTTCATGTTCCCATATCTACCTAATGAGGTGGATTAGGAATAGGCACAGGGGTTAATTTAGGTCCTGTGTGAGTGTCTGGAGGCGGTTGGAGGATGGATGGCGGCTAAGAGATTGAGGTTGAATCATGACAAGACAGAAGTTCTGTTTTTGGGGGACAGGAGGCGGGCAGGTGTGGAGGACTCCCTGGTCCTGAATGGGGTAACTGTGCCCCTGAAGGACCAGGTGCGAAGACTGGGAGTCATTTTGGACTCACAGCTGTCCATGGAGGCGCAGGTTAATTCTGTGCCCAGGGCAGCTGTTTACCAGCTCCATCTTGTACGCAGGCTGAGACCCTATCTGCCTGCGGACTGTCTCGCCAGAGTGGTGCATGCTGTAGTTATCTCTCACTTGGATTACTGCAATGCGCTCTGCGTGGGGCTAGCTTTGAAGGTGACCAGGAAACTACAACTAATCCAGAATGCGGCAGCTAGACTGGTGACTGGGAGCAGCTGCCGAGACCACATAACACCGGTCTTGAAAGATCTACATTGGCTCCCAGTACGTTTCCGAGCACAATTCAAAGTGTTGGTGCTGCACCGAGGGCCTTCTGGCGGTTCCCTCACTGCGAGAAGCCAAGTTACAGGGAACCATGCAGAGGGGCTTCTCGGTGGTGGCACCCACCATGTGGAACACCCTCCCACCAGATGTCAAAGAGAAGAACAACTACCAGACCTTTAGAAGACATCTGAAGGCAGCCCTGTTTAGGGAAGTTTTAATGTTGAACAGACCACTGTATTTTAATCTTTTGTTGGAAGCCGCCCAGAATAGTTGGGAAAACCCAGCCAGATGGGCATGGTATAATAATAATAATAATAATAATAATAATAATTATTATTATTATGTCTCAAAGCAGGAGCAGACTTGTGCCTTGGCCTTTTCATTTTGGGCTCTTCCATGCTTTTAAAACCAAAGTCATTTGGGCAAATGTCCCAAGACCTGATTGGGAGACAGGTAGTCCATCTTAGGAGGAGTCAGATCAAAGACGGTCTTCCGTTGTTTTGGCTTTTTGTACACAGAGAATTTTTCTGTTTCTGCAGCAGCAATGTTGATCATTATCTTGGGCCAAGTGCCACTGCTGTGCTATGCACAGATGCAAGTAAGCCCATGTTTTAAAATGAAAGGTGCATCTTTTACTTCCTTTTACCTCCCATCCCCTTCAACACTCACCTTCATCAGTGAAATGGTTTCCCTTTTGGAGGGCTGAGAGAAATATAAGAAGGCTCCTACGCCCATCCTAGGAGTCCGAGGCCTCTGGACTTCTGTAGTAGACTTCTGTTGTTAAGGAAAGAGGAAAAAATAAAGGGGATTGTGGTCAGAGAGAAATCTTATAAAGCAAGCGCTTATGCCGAATAGCTAATATTAACCACCGATAACCCGAGAAAGCACCCCAAAAGCAAAGGAATTAATAAATGAATTTGGACACATGTCCAGATTTAAAATAAATTATAAGAAAACCAACTTGTTGGTTAAAAATATGGGAATTAATGAATAAAATGAATTACAGGAAATTACAGGGCTGGACTTTTTTTTTAAGTCAAGTACTTAGACATATGGCTAATGGCAAAATGGATTAATCTATTTCAAGATAATGATGTGAAAACTTGGAACGAAGTAAAGAGAAACTTAGAAAGTTGGAGTAGACTCCATCTCTCCTTCTGGGGTAGAATATCAATAGTGAAAATGAATGTCCTGCTGAGAATGGTCTTTTTGTTTCAGACCATTCCGGTCCTAGGGGGAATGAATTGTTTTAAAAGCTGACAGAGAGACATTGCAAGATTTATTTGGAATGGGAAGAAGCCCAGAATAAAACACAAACTGCTTATAGACCGGAAGGAGAGAGGAGATTTTGCCTTACCGGACCTTTAACTATGTCATGAGGCAGCAGGGCTGACCTGCATCCGCAAATGGATGATACTAAAAGATACAGACTTGCTGGACATGGAGGGGTTTGATAACCGCTACGGTTGGCACACCTACCTAGCCTATGATAAGGTGAAAGTCCACAAAGGGTTTCTAAACCATATAATAAGAAAATCTTTATATAAAATATGAAGTAAATATAGAGAACTACTGGAACCCAAAACCCCCCAGTGGATTTCACCTATAGACGCGTTAGGTGTGAAGAAGAAAAATACGAAGGGAAACTGGGCATTGTACAAGATGTTATTAGAAGAGAAAAACAACAAATTGAATTTAAAAATTTTTGAAGAAATTTGTTTTCATTTGACTGATTGACTTCAATACTCCCAAATTAATGAAATATTAGGCATGGGTGAACAAAAAGGGTTTGCTCAAGAAACATCAAAGTTAGAAGAGAATTTCATTCAGCCCAAAGGGAAATATTTACCAAAGATGTATAACCTCCTCTTCGACTGGGAAGTCAAGGAGGAGGAGGGGAAATCAGTTATGGTACGTTGGGCTCAGGATGTTGGACACAGTATATGAATGAATGAATGAATGAATGGGAAAGGCTGTGGAGGGTAGACATAAGGTTCACCGCATGTTACAGTCTTTGAGAAAATATGATGAAGATGTTAAACAGGTGGTACCTAACCCCAGCCAAATTGGTCAAGATGTACAAGAATAGTTCAGATGTTTGTTGGAGATGTAAAACCAGGGTAGGCACATGTGGTGGGAATGTAAGAGGGTAAGAAAATTTTGGGACACTATATATAATGAACTTAAAAAGATCTTCAAATTCTCATTAATAAAACAACACCTGAAGCCTTTGTTAGATATTATGTCCAGGGAAATTAAAAAATAATAATCTCAGACCCCTGTTTATGTACGTAACCACAGCGGCTAGGATCTTAATAGCAAAGAATTGGAAAGGCGACAATATCCTCACCAAAATGGACTGGCAAGCAAAAATGATAGAGTATCTACAACTCGCAAAAATGACTGGGACAATAAGAGGAAATTCAAATCAGAAATTTAGTGAAGACTGGATAATGTTTAAAGAATACCTTAGAAATTATTGTGATAATGCAAATCCCCTGACAGACTTAGACGGAATCTTGAAACGTAGAAAAAGTATATAACAATTTTTTTCGATAAATAATGGGAAAATAAAACAATAATGAAATGCATATCGATTAACAAAATGTAAAAAGTTCAATAAGGTGAATCGGAAGTTAAAAGGGGTGTTATGTTAAGTTAACGTCTAGGGTGTGCTTATGTTGATGTAGGTATATATATTGTATGTACTGTTTAAGTTTATATGTTAATTGTTGTATAATAAAGGTTATTTTTAATATTAAAAAAGAAAGTGGACTTCTGTTGTTTTGGCTTCACATTCAGTCAGTGATTTATTATCTAGTGCAATGCCATTTATCTGCAACGAAAGTATGGCATGTCAAGCATGCAAAAGCTAGGAGTGGGTCAACACCTCAGCTGGCCGACATTCAATAAAGAGAAATGCCAGGCTGCCTCAAGGCAATACCATCATGTGGTATTCACTATGCTCAACTCCTCCAAACTGCAAATTAGGTATCAGACATGGGTTTCCTACCGGGTATCTGGATGACCACTATAAGAACAGGATACTGGGCCAGATTGGCCCTTCTGGCTTTTCAGTGTTCTTAGACTTGGAAGGTTTATGTTCCTACGCCCTCTAAAGGGCGTACGAGCAAACCATGATTTTCAGGAAGCCAATATTATCTGTGTCAGAGAATCATCAGAAAAGAAACTCTGAAAATTTGACAAATGGGGTTTAACCGTCAAGTTTAAAAAGTATTGATTTTAGACTGCCCCTCAGATTTATTTCTGCAGAGCCTTGCATATATCATGAAACATACAGTATGTCTCTTAAAGGTAAAGGGACCCCTGACCATTATGTCCTGTCATGACTGACTCTGGGGTTGTGGCACTCATCTCGCTTTACTGGCCGAGGGAGCCGGCGTACAGCTTCCGGGTCATGTGGCCAGCATGACTAAGCCACTTCTGGCGAACAAGAGTAGCGCACGGAAACACCGTTTACTTTCCCACCGGAGTGGTACCTATTTATCTACTTGCACTTTGACGTACTTTTGAACCGCTAGGTGGTTGGCAGGAGCTGGGACCGAGCAAGCTTGACCCAGGAGATGACATACCTGTTGCCAAACACAAACAAGCACGGAGTTAGAGGGGTTAGACAAGAGCATTTTCAAAAAACCAATCCATCTGTTTGCCAGAAAAGGTGGGAATGTGAAAAAGCTATTCCAAAGGAAATGAATGATAAATTTCCCAGGACCATGCATGGCTGCAATGAAGACAGACTTGTGGTCAAGTGCACACATTTAGGGTGCTATCCACAATGCTTCCACAAACAATTGGTTTTGTTGATTTGTTACCCACTAAAATCAGTTATCTAAACACAACATATTGAGAACTGCAGTCAAGTTTCTAGGCTAGTTTCCACTCTAGCCACCAAAGTAGGCTCATTCATTTAACTGGGATGTGTCTTATCAACATAGTGTTGTGTCCAATGTACTATACACACAAAGTCTATGAACTTTGGGCATAAAAAAGGAGATATAGATATGGTGGCTGGGGACAAAGAGGGCAGTGTCCTCCAAATTGGCAACCTCCAAGAACAAACTGTTGGCAGTTGCAGCGCCTGCTGTAGGTATAGAGATGAATGGGGGAGAGACATGTTTTGTTGCAGCTAGGGCAAATGAAGATGTCTGGTTGTGCTGATGCGGGTGTACCACTGTGTTTTTCTCCTCCCCTCAGTAGTCATTTCTCCTCGTCATTGCTAGGAATACACAATTTGACTGCCTGTCTCCAGGCACTTCGGTCATCTGCAAGAGATTCCCCCACGGTGGGATTGATGTTGCTAGCCTTTGTGTCACATTTGCAGACATCTGTGTAACACAGAGATGGTCTGCCAATTGGCTGGGGGACTGAATCCAGCTCCCCATAGAGCACATCCTTGGGAATCCTGCCATCTCCCATTCTGTGGACATGGCAAAGCCAGCATAGACATCACTGAGACAGTAGTGCAAACATGCTGGGAATACGGACTTAGGAAACAAAGATAATTGGCATTCTGTCCTGCCATGTGATACCCAAAGTCCTCTAGACACATATTTGGAAGGAGTTGAGGCATCTCTCCTGATGGTTGCCCACGACTCAAGTCCATAAAGCAGCATGCTCAACTCCTTAAAATTACAGGCCATTACTATTTTGCACATGTTCCAACTATACATGACTGTGCATGCATGAATCGCAGGGACCCTGGAAGCAGCAAGAAAAGGGCCCCTCAATTGCGTGCCATGACCCAAAATGCAACCCCCAAACAAATCAGGGGTTGACTGTACTACACAGATAGTACTGCACTCCTTTGCACATGTCCTAAATGATTTCTTCTGTATCGCCTAATTTTGGGGGGAGGATTGCAATAAACATTGTACATAATGTTTATGTTGGGAATGTCAGCTGGTGCAAGATTTTTGGTATTTAATTTTGATAACAGTATTACTAAAGAAACTACTGTTTGTTGTCCAAATTTAACATTGCTTTATCTTTTGATGATACCAATGTAAATATATTGTGAAAAGAACTCGCTTTATATATGATCTTGGCAGCATGGAAAGTAATTGCAACTCATTGGGAAACAGCCCCAAATCTTACACTGGATGCTTGGTACCACTCACTCTGAAATATAGCTATAATGGAGCAAGTTATGCGTAATCTGAGATTTTGACAAGGACTAGATCCTCCAGCCACTTTTATATGATTTGGCATTCCCTCATGACATATGCAGGGGAACCATCATTTCCAAGACAACCCTCGTCACAAACCTGGCAAATCTGGAAATACAGTTGCAATCGAGTTTATTCAACCCCCACTGCAAAGCAGATTTATTATCAAAATTTACATACTTTCAGCTGTTTGCAATGAGCAAATCAAACCAAAGCAATTGAAATAGCTCAACACAACGGATGCTTCAAGTGGTTTCTCCAAATTCAGCCGAAAAAGCAACTTATACAGTGGTACCTCGGGTTAAGTACTTAATTCGTTCCGGAGGTCCGTCCTTAACCTGTTCTTAACCTGAAGCACCACTTTAGCTAATGGGGCCTCCTGCTGCTGCTGCGCCGCCGGAGCACGATTTCTGTTCTCATCCTGAAGCAAAGTTCTTAACCTGAGGTACTATTTCTGGGTTAGCGGAGTCTGTAACCTGAAGTGTATGTAACTTGAAGCGTATGTAACCCGAGGTACCACTGTACTGGCTTCTCCAGTCTCACTATTATTCAATCCCTTGAATGGAATTCCTCGCAACAGCACAAATACAACAGGTGTTGTCTCAAGCGTACCTAATGCAACTCATCAAGGGCTTTGTGAGTTGCACCAGGTGTGCTTGAGGTAGAACACATTTTTCGGAAGACATATTTGCGTTTGACGGATTTTATTTAAGGCCCGCTTCCACTGGAAAAATGCAGCCGACTTGTAACCTGAGCTTCTGTGACTGTAATCTGTGCCACAGTGATTACAATTCATGTGCATTTGTGGTGTGTGCCTCAACCTTGTGGAGAGGTGCCTGCAGTTACAACACATGGCTAGCAAGGGAAGTGCAAGGCCATATGGGCTGGCGAGCATCAGAGAACCTTGGAAAGAGTTGCAGGGGTTCTTGCTTCTAAAGAAAGGTATCTCCCTGTGCGACCTTGGCTCCTAAATGCAAAACAAGTGCCCTTATTCCTGCCATTTCTATCAGAATGTCAGAACAATGTGATTAAAAAACTACTTATGCAAGGGCCAGGGGTGAGGCGCACAATAGTGGGGGAAGATATATGCATAAAAAAAGTAAATGAATCGCTTTTCGCATCTCATTGGCATCTCAAAAAGGACATGTTGCAAAAGAGTAAAACTTAGAATAAGGCAGAGTACATCAGGCCAACACTCTTTGTGAACCATTAAGCAGCAGGGTGTAGTTCAACTGCTACCAAGTTTGTCCAAAGCCTCTTGCTATTAGTGCTTGGGATATCAGGTCCAGCAAACTCTCATTATCAACACATTCAAAGCATGCGTGAATGTACGCGCGAATGTACACGCAGGTGCCGCTTTCAGACCTGAGAGAGGAGGGAAGAGGGGAGGAATGGGACGCTGCGTAATGGGGTGGGCTTCTAGAGTGACCTTGACTTGCTGAAATCCACATATCATGTGAACTCAGCGCCATTAAAACTGGTTCACAAGGGACATGGTTCTTTTACTTGATGGGCATCCCAGCCCTACTCAGACACGAGTCTTGGGTCTCCTAACACCTAGCCCGGTGTTTCCTCAAACTTCGGTCTTCAACTGTTGTTGGACTACAACTCCCATCATCCCTAGCTGGCAGAACCGTGGCACCCCAAGTTTGAGAAATGCGGATCTAGTCATTTGAAACTGTCACCTCCAGGCAACCTGCCCACCCATAGTATTATTAATTCTGTAACCGCACCTACAGCTATTAGCACTGGTCTTAACACTGTATCAGAGGTACACGGAGCCCACCAACAGGTGGTTGTCTACAAAAAGGGCTTGTCCTTTGGATTGGTTCTGGACTAATTGGTTTTGCAGCTCTTGGTTTTTTTATGTTTATGTGATTTTTATTTATCTGACCTCTTTCATTCCCCAACCATTTGATTTCCTTAGATCGCAAGCCTGTATGGGACAGAACTATTACAAATTTATGGGGTGGGTTGGGGTGGGGAGAACTGCTGCAAGTTGTCTTGAGTCCATAGGACAGAATAAATTAAATTAATATGTGACAGGTCATTTGCACACCATGCCAGCTTCTCCTAAGTGACATAATACCAAAAAAGGGGAGAAAGAAATGAGTCAGGAACAGGAAAGCAGGTACCAACCTCTTTCATCTGTTATGGGATGAAGAAGTGAAAGAGTCTTTGAAGAATGCTCTGGAAAGGGGAGGAGCCAAATGGCTGTTGGTTCCAACAGTGACCATGTAGAACAGTCATGGAAGGCTCCGTTAGCAAGGGGCCAGTGCTTGCTGCACTCTTTTAAGAACATTTGAGCTTTAACAACTAGCTTTCCATTTTACTCAAGCGCAATCTGTCACTGGCTGTGAGGTTGGGAAACTGATGCAAGAATGCCTTCAAGGGAAACCTTTGGCAAACTATTGGGGGGAAAACACAAAAATCCCACCGCTGGGATGCAGCCAATGAGGAGCTGATTGTAATTGTATGTGAATTGTGCCTCTTCCCCAGATTGGGAAAGATGGTGGCAAACAAATGTCCTCATCACACAGGCAGCCAACTACTCCAGGTGTCTACAGGGATCACTTTTTGATAACTGGCAGCTTGTTCAGTGTGGCAGGATTACAGCAACCTGTATTTTCATTAAAAAATAATAATGCTACTCTTTGATTTGCTGAATTTGTGTTAAGTCTCTAGTCGGATTTATATTATTTTTTTGCTGTTGATGTTGTGGAACTGGCTGTATTGAAGAAGAAAGCTAAGCTGTCCTTGTTCTTTTTTAACCTTGAATGTGGAAACAGACAAGAAGGGGTAGAAAAACCCCCAGTAACTGCACTGAAAAAAGCAGGGTACTTTTAAACCTTGGGTAATGTCTCCAAGCAGCTTTGCTTACAATAAGTGCTCCTTTAAAGCACACACTCATTTACTCCAATGCAATATAACCTAATTGGGATCGCTCAATTGCCTGTGCCTTTCAAGTTAACTGCCTGGTGCTTTTTTATGATTGAAGGGCAGCCATCGGGTAGCATCATTTTTAAAACTTAACACTGCATCACTATTACCTTTCATATTATCATGCACTTCAAGTGCCTTTCCATTAGATTGCTGCACTGCAGCAATTAGAGTTTACAGTTTGGACTTGATAGCCCGCCTTTCACTCCCCTTAAGGAGTCTCAAAGCGGCCAACAAACTCCTTTCCCTTCCTCCCCCACAACAAACACTCTGTGAGGTGACTGAGGCTGAGAGACTTCAAAGAAGTGTGACTAGCCCATGGTGTCTGTACATCGTGGGACTCAGGCTACAATCCTGAACACAATGAAGCTGCTTAAATCCTATCAGAGTGAATGGCATAGGAGTAACTCAACTAGGCACAGGATAGCCACCGACTGACCCAGTCCAGAGAAATTTACGTATATAGC